ATCTCTGTTGTCCCGTCACGTTGTGACCGTCTTATATACATATACAAGACTAATGCATATCTAGTAAATGCTAGGGCATTCATGAAGAAACGGGATATTTCTAGAAACAGGTGGCGTGATACTAGTCACGTGACCTCGCTGACGCAACAATATCAAAACCTATGAGTATGTGGTGACTACCAGAAAGTTTGCTGCTGCAACTAACAAGGTTCAGCATATGCTAAGTCACATGGCTATATCTGAGACTAAAAAATCATCATTCAAAAGGCAACCATTGGGCAATGAAATAATCCTATGTATTACACAGGTGTTTCATTTATTATCAAAAAATCTCTATGCTTATGTTACACACATTGTACAATTATTTTTGTATTAAAATCCCAATAAAATCATTTTATTTTGTGCAGGTTATAGAATGAAGCACAGAATTAACATTCTCATTATTATAAATGTTGGTATTATTATTATAAGTAAAGAAATTATAAAATATCAATTATGTAACTGAATGCATTTCTCTTTTCTACTGAGGTATGTCTTCCCTTCCACCACCCCTTTGAAAATGCTGAATGGAGAATATGAATCAACAAAATGTCTATAATAATATTGCAATTGATTGTATTGAATATGGTAGTAGTAGTAATAGATGAATTTACTTAGTTAAAGGAAGTTTGTAAATGGTGCAGATATACAGCTCAGACTTGTAAATGCATAACAAATTAACAAATATTATACTATATATTTACCAGACTATAAAAAATAAGTGTTTAAATTGAGCACTATATTTGAAACCAAATTTTATGAAACATCATTACAAAGATGTCAGGTCTGTAACAGTAGCAAAATTGAAGATTAATTTAATTGTACAATATAATACAGTTGATACAGATTTTTTTTCAAGAAAGTTGTCACATTTTGTTATATAAAAGCTTAATATACAGTAAAATAGAATATTTATTGTATTGATTGTATTGCTATAAAATTTATCTTCTGGTGACAGTATGATCAGGTCAGTAATACCTTCTAATAAATTGCAATTATATTTTTAATCTAGGCTACCCAATGGGGAATGACTAATGAAGAAACAGCACTGAAAGCCTACACAAAATATACTGGTAATGCAGGAGACCCAATGGTATTGTTGCGTCATCGAGATCACGTGACTATTCTCACGCACTCTACTTTCTAGAACTATCCTGTACTTTGGCGTATGCTCCAGCATTTACTAGATATAGGGTAGCCTGGTATATAAAAGAGGGTGACAACGTGACGGTAATGTAATGTGTGTGTAGACAGCGTTTGTTATAGAGCGATTGTTGAAAATAAGTGTATCGTAAAGTTGTATTCGGAAAGAATAAACCAGTTTTATTAAGT